AAATAATTTTTCAAAATTATTTTCATGAAACATAAATATTTGAATTTTGTTTCATTCAGGAGAAAATCATAATAAAAATAAATATACAAAGAGTCTTTAAAAGATTACATTTTAAACTACACTATGCACTAAATTTTGTTGTGCATATAGACTAAATTGTTTTGGATATAATTTTTTGCAAAGATAATTTATCCATCTTGCACAAATGATAAATTCTACCATTTATTGTTGTAGGAACATCAACAGTGCACAGAATATTCATTAATGGTACAAAACATATTCTTAAAATCTTCTTTCCAGTAAAATGAATGTGATGGAAGAGCTGGGTGCATGGACTTAATCAGCAATCGACAATAAAATTTGGATTGGCATGGTCCAAGAAATTGATATGGAGAATAAGTCTCCATATCAATTTCTTGGACCAAGCCAATCCAAATTTTATTGTCGCACTTGCAACAAACATATCATGAAACAAAAGAATTTACTGGTTTTTCTTCAGTCCCAATAGAAAAGTCATATATTAGGTCATAGTTTTCATCTTTGCTACATTGTCTCATAGCTATTTTATCTCTGGTGAGTGGAATAAATTGATGAAAACTTCTTGTTCCTGGGACTGTGGATGCATTTTCAAATCTCATGGTCAGACTCCTCCTCACTTCCTCAACTTCTTCCTTTTCAACCAGAATGAATTTGATACCTTCAATTGCAGATTTACAATATTCAAAACAGATTCTGTGGAAAGGATTTGTTTGGTAGTTGGTCTTTGGAGACTTTCTTTTGACACTATCCTTTTCACTGTCCCACCTATGCCATCACATGGTTGTTTACCATGTCTTGTTGCAAAGAAATGCCATTTTGCATTGAGCCCAAAATCTTTCTGATGGTTGCACAAATTGGCAAAGTTCTTATAATTTTTGTATTGAAGTAAGAACAACCATCAGTAAAATACTCAATATTTTTTATGTTTGGCAAGGTAGCTTTGATTACCTCAATAATGTTTTTCTGTACCATATAAACAAATGCTACATCATGTGAGTTGTCACTCAACATAATGCACAAACATTCACTTTGCATTCATTTTCAAGCTTAAAGTTGAGTACAACTGGATGTAAAGTACATTGTGAAGTATTCCAATGATAACTCTGGATCTCATCTTGAACTATAAATTTGTAGTTCTCGTCAAAATCTCCCAGGAACAAAATTTCACTATCACTAATCTCCTCTTTTCTTTGCTTTAATTACCTTGATTGTGATTTAGCCAAGTAAGAATGAGGTGCTAATTTATTCAGTTGCAAAACAACTAAATCAATGTAAGCTTGACAGGATTCCTTTTGTGTTGTCAAAGTCGATTGGTCAGTTGTTGTTCATTGGGAGAACTCTATTGATTCAGCATTATCAATATATTCTTCCATGATGTCATTAAGAAATTTTTCAATTTAGGATAATTTGGGCACCTATGAATCATACACTCTCTGCTACTGGTATTACAGACAATATATTTGCAGAGATCTTTATACGATACATTCAATGGTTCCAGTAATAATTTCATATTTTGGTGGATAGTGCATACACATACAACATGTGTACCTGTACTACCAGTAAGGACACACCATTTCAGCCTTAGACTACAAAATTTTGAAAATCCCAAAGGTACTGTTGGGTTCTGTTCCTTGAATGCTCTGAAGAGCTCATTTAGGTTGCACAAGATGAGTCTTTTCTGCTGATGAATATAATGTAGTCTTTCCTGCCTGGCATCAGACGAGTTGATTCATCATCTTGGTAAAATTCTTCCACTAACTGTGCAATATCAGCAGGCAAAGACTTGCCTCTTTTTAGTTCTGGCAGAGCTAAAATACCTCTTTCCAAACACAATTTGCAAGCCTTGCATACAATGTGTTCTGAAACACCAAACACATTCATGAATTTTTTATGTGATCCGTTGGTAGGGGCAAGTGTCAAGATCTGTATTTTGATTTTAGTTGATTCCACTGTCTTCACTTTTGCTACAAGAAACTATCATTTTACCAAAGAACTTAGCTTTATCTAAAATCTCCTTTTTGATTTTTCAAGCCTCATCATTCAACAGCTCATAGTCAACCTTTAATGACTTGGCTACTTTACATTGCAGAAAAACAATTTTCTCTTACCTAAAGTAGCTTTTCCTGAGTAATGAATCCCTTTTGTTTTCAGTGGAGAAATTCCAATAGCAGAGAAACATTCATGGATATTTCTCTTCTCTGTTTCTGCAGAAGTACTTGTATCAAACTCTTTCATTTCCTCATCTGATACACATCTTGGTTCTTCATTATTACTACTCTTTTCTGATTCTGCAGAAGTACTTGCTTCAAGTTCTTGTATTTCCTCATCCCATACATGTCTTGGTTCTTCATTGGGAAGCAGTTTGTGGATTTGGATTTGACAATTAGGGCAGAGTTTCTTGCCTGGGATTAATACCAACTTAGCCTTTGCCTTGTCTGCCATCTCCAAAGAAATTGGTCTCAAACCACCTTTGATTTGCATTTTATGATTTTTAAATGGATTACATCTTTTTTCAAGCCATTCATAGTTAGTCAACAAGGTCTGCTTATGATGGTAACTGATAGGTTGTATTTTATCCTTGTCAAGTCCTGTTCTATAGGCAATAAGCTTTGCATCCAACTGATCAACTGAAATCAATCCAACCTGTTTATCATTGAATAAACCATGACATGTTTCAACTGTTAGCTCAGTACAAATAGAACAATTCATCTTTAACTGAAATAAGAAACTACTGTATTCAAATCCAGTGTGCAAGTAAAAAAAATTAGAAAAATACCACCTTTCCCCTTGGATACTGGATGGTAAGCGACAGATGTTTCAGGACCAGACAGTGCATAGTGTAATTTAAGTGTAATCTTTTAAAGACTCTTTTATATTCAATTTTATTATATCTTCTGATTAAAACAAAATCAAATACTTTTGTTTCATGAAAATAATTTTGAAAAATTATTTAAAAAATAAAAATTTTAAAAAAGTAATGAAAGCATTTCCTTCAACCATATAAATATGTTAAGTGCCAACTACAAATATTATGTTTTAAAGATTCACATTTATCTTGTTACTTTTTTGAGAATGAAACACAAAATAATTTGGCACACTTTCCTAACTCATGAAGGGGAACATTTGTGCCAAATTTCAAGTAATTCGGTGTCGGTGGCTGCAGATTTCAACTTTTTGCTGGTGTTTTGAAACTTTCCTAGAATGATTTTGTTTTATTTGTCTATATTTCTGTGATGATTGATTGTTATATACACACCCGCTGATGTCTTCCAGCCTTTATGCTTCTGTTTGTCAAACCCAGTAACTGTAATGTAAATTTAAACCAAAAGTCTTTATTCACTCACAGGAATAGATTGAATAAAGGATTCAGTGACACCTGTAAATAATATAAATTTCTGATTCAATATATCTTTTACCAGAAATCATAATTACCCCTTTGTGTTGTTTAATAATTATCAGTGTTCATAGCAAAAATACATATTTTCGTTTATTTATCTTTCAACACATCCTATTATCCTCAGGTGTGAATAAAAATGTTATTCTAAGTATTTCATAAAGTGGTTGACTTTATTTTCTTCTAAAATTTCTGAAAATCCTACATTTTTCAATAGGCCTCCAGTTCTGGCTCTCAGTTGCTCCATGACTTGGCCTGGAGTATAGAACGCCATGGTTCAGCTCGAAATTCCAACCACCTGAAGAAGGCCGGAGTATACAACAGCCGAAACGTGATAAATTTGGCAACAAAGATGAGGACAATAGTCCAAATAAGGTAAATAGTGTATATAAAAAAAAATAAATGTGAATGTCAGTGTGTCACACCTTTTCAACTTTACTCCTAGAGGCTGTAGCCCAACATATACCATTTTAGAATTCCCAAGTTTTCATTACTATGATTGTTTTTGGTGATTTTCTTGTGATGATTTTTTTTTGCATGATAACAATTTTTATAACTTGGAAATAAACTTGGGAATAATCGAAATTGTGAAATCCAGTGAAAGTCACCCATGAGATAAAAATAATTGTACAGAAAGTAAGGACCTATGTATATCAAATTGTCTTTAAATGACAGCAGAAGAATTACTGTTGAACTTTTACAAGGTAAGTTTAAATATTGATGTATTATTTAAATGCCGCGATCAATTTTGAGTTCTGTAGTGTATGTATTGTTGTCTATCACGTCTACTCCTCCCTACCTATTATGAAGGCCCAATCAAGAGCCTTCCACAGGAGCTAGATTAAATGCTACAAAATAGGATGGCTTTTAAGCTAAAATATTTATATATATATATATATATATATATATATATATATATATATATATATATATATATATATGATCCTTTACAAGTAGTGAAATATTCATGACAACTTATTACATAAAATAAACTTTTTACTTCAATTAATAGCTTCATATTTATTTTAATGTCATTTTAAAGAAGGAAAACATCTATAGAAGACATTTAAAAATGCATTTGACTTAAGATCTTTTTCAGTCACTAACTTTATAATATATTGGCAACTATTTGCAGTTAAATAAATTAAATAAATAGACAAAAATCAAAGAAAAATCTAACTTTTGTCTGTCTAGTTAATGCTACTATAGGGTGAAAGTAACTTAAAGAAAGTTGTGTGTAGGTAATCAATATTTAATGAACAAATGAAAGCATAGCTAATTTTGTTAATATCAGAACATTACAACCAAATGTGATTTTTATTGCATATTCTTAACGGTCTTATTCTTATAAAATCAAAATATGATATTAAAAAAGAATTTCTGGGCCTGATTTGATACTCTTAAATTATTCCAATTAAAATGTCAACAACATCAGATACTGAAAGCATCCAAAATGATCACTATTTAAATCAACATTCATGGTATGTATGTTAGATGGTTGTTTTCATATTTCTATGCAATGGTAATAAAATTATTCCTTTAATGAATAAAAAAGATATTTACTTACATGGCTGTCATCTGATTGTGACTGATTTGATTGTCCTTCCTCTTCCTCCTCTTCTTGATCTTCGTCTTCATCCATTGACTGATCACTTAGACCATTACTGGCAGAGTTCTGTTTAGAGCAGTCTTTACGGTCATCATCATTGTCATCATCATTGTCATCATCATCATCATCATCATCATTTTCAAATGATCCTCTGTCTTCCTGCTGTTCTTCACTTTCAGCTTCACTTTGTTCTTCATCTTCTTCACTAATTAATTTCATCAAAATCTTATCGATTTCTTTTTTTCTGAAAATAGAACAAATAAAACACGAGTTCATGCCTCAAAATCATGATTTGTAGATTAAATTTATTTTTTTTAGGAAAAAAGAAACAGCAAAGATCAGTAAATTCCTGCATTTGTGATAAAGTAAAAATAAGCCATTGAAATTATGCTTATGATTTATTGTTACTTGTATAAACAAAGTTGTGCAAATTTCTTTCTACAGAACGAATGCAAATTTTGACTACCCCAGTTTTATGAGGAGTTTCATTATTTCTCAGCATTGTTTGCAGATAATTTTCAAAAATTGATTCTTTATAAATTGCAGCAACAAAACTGTTTTTGTTTAAGTTCATTTTTGCATCTTTTTTAACAAACCTGTTATTTTATTGTCCTCTATTTCTCTCATTCTCACCAATCCCTTGTATCTTAGTGGATTTTATTGCTTGGATTGAAATGATAAAAAAAGAAGAAAATTACTAGGCTTAGCCTAGTAAATTGTCATTATGGTAATATTAACTGTTTCCCTACAAGAAAACATTTGGCATTCAGTGACTGAGCAGCAAGTAATGCTGTCAGTTAAAATTTATAAAATCTTTCTGTTAAAAGAATTTTTCAAGAACATTGGTTTCTCAAGTACAGTACCTGTCGTCACCCTTTCTAGTAATGATAGGGGGTTTCCTTACATTGGAACATTAACACTTTATGTCATCATTTTCTCTGAATTATATGAGCTACCTATTTTAGTGGTTGCCATTGTTGATACAGTTTGATACAGTTCTTTGTGATTATTTAGTGCCAGTCCACAATGTTCAAAGAGGGATGGACTTTGCCAATAATCTCAGGTTTCACTCAAAGCCATTTTTAACCACTGATCTTAAAATGTGGTCATATACAGCTGACAACTTAGATATTTCTGAATGGGTTTGGTGCCATGCATGATATCTATATGACAATCTCAATCTGATGAGGTTATTTAAGAACAGGACTCGAGTTTTCAGGTTAGAGTTTTGTTTCTGTAGCAATTTGCAGGGTTGGGTGAAACTAGCTCTGGCACAGCCTATTCTATGTTCAATTTCCTTTTCTCCTTAACTAAATTTGTTATAACCGATCCATATGCCAAGATCCTTAGCGGATTTTTTGCCTTGAATGAAAAGATTAAAAAAAAAAAAATGTACTATCTCATGACTTTTGGCATGTCAGTGCAAGCAAAGAATTTAGAAAAAGCAATCAATTGAATTGAGGATTTAAAAAGTGAAATAATGTAGACATTTGGCAGCAAATTTATGTCAAGTATTCTGTATTTAATTTTTCACTTTTTTAATATTAAAATTTACTAGTTCTTTTCACAAATGACTAAAATACTCTTCAAACACAACTTAAGCCCAATTAGATAGATTGTTTATTCTCTGCATAAATATTTTATACACAACCTATGCATGGTCTACATAATACTTACTATAAAGCTAAAGGGAGGGAAAAAAAAAAAAAAAAAAGCCTTACTAAGCACTATTTTACTAATGTAAGCTAAACATTGAAAATGTAAGCCTGGCATTGAAAACTAAAATTTAATGAAAAATAGCTGTCTCATGCCTTTTATCAAATTAGAATATACTTGCCATAACCAGTATTTAGTCATGCAACTTGCTTTATTTAGAGCTGGAGTATTATAAAATATAATTAAACAAAGCCAAATAGAATGAAGTAAAACAAGAAACATTCTTTTTGGAAAAGGATACATGCCACTTTTTCTGCATACTTAATTCATTCATTTTCTATCTGGATGCCAGAAGTTTGCTCCCAGTAAATGCTCTGAATTAAATTGATATCTTTCACAAACTTTTTTTTTCATTTTTTTTAAATAAAAAAAAAAAAGTCAAATAGATCTTTGTGTCATAGCTTATCAAATGCTTTTATGAAACAGGTATGTGTCTTTTTGCATTGCTTGCTTCAATATCATTTTGATCATAAATATTGAATTTCTTCTTCCAGTTTCTTTAATGACATCACACTGTTCTTGTCTTATTTGGGGATTAATTCTGTTACATGCTTTATTCATCAAAATCCAAGTGATAAACTTAATTATGTGGCTTATGAACCCAATTGTCCACTGGAGCTCATTCATTTGCACCTGGATTCTTAGGCAGCACCATGAAGATGGACCTTCCAGCATGTATTGCATTTATTATTTCACAATCTTGTCAATTCTGAAATTGAACAGGGCTGATAGGATCTATATCAATATCTGACTTAGATGCAGTAAAACCTGTTGCTTTTGTTTTAGTGATGACCTATCTTTATGTAACCAAGTTATGGAAAACAACAGTAAAAAACCGGAATTGGTTTAAACAAGTTTATTACCTTTTGATACAGGGAAACATAATGTAGAATAAAAACTAGGGAAGTGAATGTTTAACTGGGAATGACTGTTTTTAGCAAAAGGCTATAAACTGCTCCTCCTGTTGATGTAGGAGTATTTTTGTGTCTTTCGTCTGATGACCAAGTCCAAACTTGTAGGGAAATATTCTCCCTCACAACAGTTTGGATACAGCAATTAAACTCTTATAATGTTTCACATGGAAATAACAAAATACATTCTGCAAATATTATACTCCAATTTTTTTTTTTTTTTTTCCTACTTATAGTCAAATGTCTCCAATATCCACATAATATCTTTCATTTTGGAAGAGTTTGCAGATATATTAATTACATTTCTGGAGTATTTTTCTTTCTTTCTCAATGAGTTTTCCCTCTTTATAATTTATACATCCATATATAGCTTGCACTATTTCTGCACACTTTTTGTTGAGTCATTCAACTACCTACCTACCTGCATTTGTATGTGTTTAATACTTTGTATTTTATACTTGGCATTTCTCAATGTCTTTTTTTTCTTTTGTCTCATCATCCACTTGTCCTTCCAAAAGCTTTTATTGTCCACGTGTCAGTGAGACAAGAGTGTGATGAAGAACTACAAAGTTTTTAAAGAAAACTTGTCTCCGAGTCAATGATTATCACCAGCAAGATTGAAGGAAAAAAAAAAAAAAAAAAAAAAAAAAAAAAAAACAAAAAACACCATAGTTAATCTTCAAGTCTGTTTCCCTTTTTGAAAAGAACCACAGAAATTGTGTTAAGAGAGTGTTGTAACCTAGAAAAGGTTACTAAATAAGAATAACCAAAATGAAGGTTGGAAATGGAATGGTAATCTTTATAACATTAACAACATACAAGATTTGCCAGTAGCATGTAGTAAATAATCCACTGCTAGTGGTGAATCCCCCAGACAGTATATTCCACTGTATTTATGAAGATTGGGACATACCCATTATAGTCTATAGGTATGGTATAACACCCCACTTTTTAGATTTACTCTACACAGAGTCAATATCTTTTCCTTCTTGGGTTGATTTTGATTCTCTCTCTACCCCTTCTTTTCCTCTTACTTTTTCTTTTTTGAACTTCTATCACAGGAGCTTTCTGAGGAATGGGTAAATCAAATGTGTGAAAAAGAACTTCCATAGGCTTAACCTCCACTGGAGTATCGTTCTTTTCATTTATATACTTACTTTTTATTTGATTACAGTACTTTTTGTGCACCATTTCCAGTCCTTTGACTAAATACACCATTCTACCGATTCTTTGGACAATAGTTCCTACTTCCCAATATCTTTTACCTGTCCGATACATCCGATAAAAAAAACTTTTGACCAACTTTATAAAATTTATTTCCAGCTTTTTGTACTGCATGTTCAAGTTTTTTCTTATTGGGCTTGTCAAAAAAAAAAAAAAAAAAATCTTATTTTCCACACAAGCAATTTCTGCTGGAGTCATGGCAGAAGGTGGATTTTTATTTGGTGTGAGCCAATACACCTGTAGAAACTGTTGACATGCTGCATCCATGGACCTACCGTTGAATTCTTTAAAGGGCCCTCAAAGATATCCACAAAACGGTCTGCCTGAACACTGCTTCCTAGAGTTGTAAGTGGCCATTGTTATGTGCTCTACCACAAACATTTTACAAAATTCCAAACATTCAATGTCTCTAGCCATGCTACACCAGTACACATAACTTCTCATTAAGCTCTTCATTCTGTGTGAAATTCTTTCAGGATTCATTTCTGTAGTGATGAAGGCACCACCACTCTTTCACTGTATATGAGAACATCATTCCAAATTGAATATACCTCAGATTTTGTTTTACTCCTATCTTTTAGTTTTTATTCATTTCCACAATAAAACATCATCCAATGCTTTACTTTTTATTTCTTCCAAAGTCACAGGTAGTTCCCACACAGTATTGTATAGTACATTTTTCTTATCACTACTTCCGCTTGTAGAGAATCAATGACTGTGTCTTCCAAAGGTTCGCTATTTCTTGGAATAAGTCTAGACAATCCGTCTGTGTGACTCAACTTACTCGATGGCAAGAATTCCATTCTGAAATTGTAATTTAATAGAATAATTCCCCATCATTGTAACTGATTAGTTGTATGGCTCGGTAGTCCTTTTTTGGACCCATAAATAGCTTACAATGGTCTGTGATCAGTTTTTAAGAAACCTTCCTTGAAAGAGTCTATGAAATTTCTCAAGGGCAAACACAATCCCTAAACTCACCTTTTCTATCACAGAATAATTCTTTTTGGATGGAAGAAGCATCCTAGATGCACGTGAAATAGGTTTAATTGAGCCATCTTTGAGTTTATGCATAATGCAGGCTCCTATTCTATACGCATTCACATTGCTTGCTATGACTATTTCTTCTTTTTGATCGTAATGTGTCAAAAACAAGTCTGATGTTAGCATTTCTTTAATTTTGTTTCAAATGCCTCCTTGCACTCCGTCATCCAAACCCATTTGGAATCTTTCTTTAATAGTTCATTTAACAGAGCTCACAAAGAATGCATGTTTGGCACAAATACATTGTAATAACTTGCCAAACCTAGGAAACTTTGTAGAGAACTGATATTTTCAGGAGCAGGCATGTCTTTTATAACACTGGCTCATGCTGGATCTGGTCAACTGCCAT